TTAACCTCTGGTGTAGCCTCACCTCATCATTGCTTATGAATTTTGTAGTGGCCCTCTTTTCTTGGATGAAGACCTCTGCCAGTGTGGGAGTGTCCTTTGCACCTTCATTGAATATTTGCTCCCTTATTTCATTTGATGTTGGAGGCTGCTGCTCTAGGCATCTTCTTGCTGAGGCTCCAAGTTGAGATCAAGGAGTTGAGTCTCCTGCTCTAAGGTGGCAGCCAACTGCTCTTGAGGGGCCTTAGAGGATTCTCCTCCTTGAGTTTCCATTCTGGACTTTTCCATGACTCTCCTCGTTTCTTTATCACTAGAGGAGGAGGAAGTAATAACCTGTTTACCTCTTTGTTTGCTGGGAGGTCCTTGAGGAGCATCATCATCATTATCATCACTATCGCTGGATTCTTCGATTGCGTCTTTGGCAATGAGCTCCTTTTTCTTCAGGGCATATACTCTGTTGATTTTGAGGATCTTGGTTGCTTCTGCCATATCATTGGTTCCAAGCCATTCTACCACAAAGTCCTCTTCCTCTATAAAGAGTGAGAGGGTTTCAGCTTGATGGAGGATCTGTGATAGCTTCCAGACTCTCCATGCTTTGACTCTGGCAAATTCTGCATCCAGCTGCTCGAGGGGAGTTAGGTTGGGTGAGCCCACTGCTGGAGATGGAGGAGCCACCTGCTCATCTAATTGAGTGGCCTGCTCTGCTGCTTGACCTGCCTGCTTCTCTGGTGTAGCCATCTGCTCTATTTGTTGTTGAATCCTGGGGATAAGGTTTGAGAGGGGAATGGCAGAGCTATTAGTACCTTGAGAGTTGAATGGTGATGGAGAATGGGAGCCTGCTTCTTCATTGATGATTGAGAGAAGGGAGGCAACTGATTCTTGTTCCTCAATGAGTTGTACTGAGGAAGCTGCATCTTCTAGTTCATCTTGTAGGTTTCTTGTTGCTATTTTTGGCCTTTTGGATTTGGGTTCCTGACAACCTGATCTGAGTCTCTTTGCCGTTTTGGTAATAACCTTGAAGGAGATCATGAGAGGGTCGTTAGAGCGGAAAGAGTCCTCTGCCGTTGAGATTGTTGGTGCTCCTGACTTGGAGGTCTGATGGAGGAATTTCCTCCAGTTGGTGGATTCCTTAGCTTCTCCCACTATCCCCTTCTTCTTGAGGATTTCTCCAATTAGGAACTCATATCCAAGCAGAGGAAGGGTTCCATCATCCCTTCTATCCTTGCGAGATTTAATTACATATCTCACAAGCTCTTTGTACACATACCTAGACCAGTTGTGTGGGGACCCTGAGATTATTGCGGCCAGTGTGGGTGCCCTTTGTGCATTGATTTCATCTAGGGCGGTGGTTCTGTTGTCAATGCACTTGTAATGGATGTCCAGAAGAGGAGAGTATTCTTGAACCATCAGATTTTTCTTCACCTTGAGTGTGTTGAGGTGTTTAGCCTTTGGAGGGAACACAATTTCTTTGAAGCCTTCCTCGTCAAGGGTAATGTCATCTACATCTGGGGCTTCATCTCCGGGTAGAGAGAGCAGATCACTGATTTCTTCTTCTTGAATTTCCACTTGAGTTCCCAGAACTACTGACTTCAGTGTGCCAGAGGTTGAGTTGATGTAGAACTCTGCTACTGTTTCAGGATAGAAGCAGGGGTATTGGTAGGTAGTCATCTTCACAAGGCTCGTGGTTTCTAGCTTCCTTAGAAGCTCCTTCATGAGATCAGTATTCTCTGCTTTTTCAAGGATTTTAGGGGTGTTTAGGATGGAGCCGGTGAAGATGGATTTGGAAATTTGGACGAGAGAGGCCATTTCTGAGTTGTGGAGTTTGGAGTGGTGGATTAGGAAGGTGTGTTGAGAGTGTGGTGGTGGAGCTTTTTAGAATTTAGAAATTGTTTGAGAGCTTTAACATCTTCTATGTGTGCATCCCATGCTGCGGCCCTCAGTACTTGATTCGGTATTAAATACCGGTTAAGTTTTGTCTCCAATCATTTACATTTATGTATTTAATTTTCGACCTTAGTTTCTTTTCTATAAAATGTGACATTTAAATTTTTGAGCTAAACTCAAGCTGCAACCCAGCAGGTGCCTCAGCAGTTTCCTCATTGCCACCCAACTGCCTAGACCACTGCTCCAGTAAAACTCCCACTTACTTGTACTAAAGCACATCTTCAGAAAGCCCTCATCACCCTGAGCAATATTATATAATCAGTCTTCCCATACCTTCAATTTTACTTAAGCAGGTACCGCAACAGTTCATTGGTAACTACCCAACTGCTGAGACCACTGCTCTCATTAAGACTGATTATCAATCCACCTCATTACATCATCAGAAAGCCCTATTCATCCCGAGAAAGATTCTGCCTGCACTTTCACCATACACTAAGTATTTCACTGGCAGTTGCCTCAACAGTCCCCTGCCTTCCAGTAAACTGCCAAGCCAACTACTGACTATATAAAACCCAAATATCACCCAAGTCAGAAAAGTGTCATACATTAATCATCTAGAGGTTAAAGACTTCCGCTGTGCATCTATAAATCTCCCAAAAGATTTTAGATCAACTCATCTAGAAGGGAAAAATCTTTAAAGTTGAAAAAGCTTTAAAAGTCTATTCACGCCCCCCCCCCCCCCCCCCCCCCCCCTCTAGACTTTTACCTCTATCCGGGACCATCAAAATCTTTAGGAAAAGCCACATATTTCACACATCTTTCTATTAAATAATCATGCCATTTTTTTCTAAGTTGACCACTACCCCCAAATACGTCTAATCCCCCCCTTGACTACCTCCATAGAATCTCCAAACGCTTTTAGACCATCTTGCACACATAAATTTTAAACATGGCATGCACATCGTTGATGAAAAATCTACCCATCAAAGAAGTGGCACCACACAATTCACGCAATCTAGGAATAGCAGCAGTATTATTAGTAGCATTATCAAAACCAATAGCAAACACCTTATCATTCAAATTATACTCAATTAAAATATGCTCAATCAAAATATATATATGTTCAGCGGGGTGACGATCATTAAATTCACGAAAAGCAAGAACACGTTTATGCATATTTCAACCATTATCAATATAATGTGCAGTCAGACCCAAATAATGTAAATTAAGATAAGTATCCTCCCATATGTCAGAACATACAGTAACACGTCCATCAAAGTTTACAAAATAATTTTGTAACCTTACCTTTTCTGCACCATAAAGCCTTAAAACTTCTTTCTTAACCGTTTTGCGACTATAACCTCTATATTGAAGATTTAAACAAGTTTGTGCATAATCTTTGAAAGCAAGACTTTCAGAAAACAAATAAGGCAAATTTTCTTCAACAAGTAAGTTAGCCATACCAGTCAAATTTTGTGCATCATTGTATGAGAAATTTCCAAAAGGGTGTTGGTTATTAGCAAACCTCGATATTTGAGTTTGTTTCCCCGTTCCGCCGCCTAATTTGGCATACCCCACCGTGTGTTTGGCCTTAAGATGCCTTGCGGCGGATCCGTATCCGCCGGAAATCCCCAAGCTATAATTTTTCTTGCACCACTTGCAAGTTGCGTTCCAATTCCCAGTGTTCAGATCCTTCCACTTGTCAAAATTATTAAGCATTAGTTCAGATTTACTTTTTTTCGTACCGGTTTGGGATGAGGCAGGCTCATCGGCGTCGTGGCTGCCGCCACCCTCATCGTCGGCGTTGTGGCTCTCTGGAATTACTTCCTCCACATCGTCGTCCTCGAACTCTTCTTCGTCAATGGTCCTCGGCTGGTCTTGTAAAAACCGATTATTATGTTGATGCAATTCTTGTTCTATTTGTTCGTCGGTCATCGCATCCTCATCCCTCCTTGCGTAACCTGTATCAAAATCATCTCAGCTTTGAGATGAAGAGCCGATATGTGATTTACCTTTGTGGGATCTCTTCCTCGCAAACTCGTTCGTTCAGTTGCGGTCGAGGTTACCCATATGATCATATCAATCGAATATCTATCACCTTCCATCTTGGAAATAATTAATATATAACTATATATTAACCGAATAGATAATTAATATATAACTATATAAGTAGATAAGAAATATAAGTAATATAATATATGTATTTATAAGTAGATATATAATACTCCCTCCGTCTCATAAGAAGGTTCCCATTTTCCTTTTTGGACGTCTCGTTAGAAGGTTCTCATTTCCATTTTAGGAAACAATTAACAATCTTAAGTGACAAATTAATCATTAAATATTAAAAATAATACATTTATAACATCACAGTTATCAAAACTAACTACATTATAATATATACCTATTAAAATTATTTATCAAAATATACTCAAAGTAATTTATTTAATTATTGCCTAAATAACCGTGTCGTGCTATGGGAACCTTCCAACGGGACGGAGCCCACGGAGGTAGTATATTGGAGAATAAGAGAATTTGAGAAGATGAAGATAATTAGAGAGTAGAGAGTAGGATTTAGGAAGAATTGGAGAAGAGAGATGGAAAAATGTTTAAGATTAGGAGCATTTAAAGTTTTTTTACCCCACCCCCACCCCACCCCCCAAACTGCCCGGACCCCCCTGTCAGCCCACCCCCAACGGCTCTATTGGCCCAAAAACAAAAAAAAAATTATAAACTAGCCATTGTGACCCAGACCCGGGCCCAACCCGGCCGGGCCAAGTCACGTTTTGTCGGAACCGAACCCGCCCCCCGCTGCCCCCCAGTTTGGATCTACACCCGGTCCCGGACCATCAGAACGGGCCAGTCCCGGGCCCGCACAGTAGCGGGCCAGGCCAGGTCACGGGCCGGGTGGCCCGAACCGAATCCATCACTACAAGTACCTAAGCCAATTTCAGTATAGAATCCTCTGTGATTTGAAAGTTTGAAGCAAGACTTCATAAAAGAAGTGTTACAAACCCATCACTCTTCTAGTTTCAGCTATTATATTGTTACAAAGAGATTGAACACAACGAAGAAAAAGAAGGGAAACCGTAATCATTAAACTGTAGCTGACCCATACACCTTTGTACGGCTTTTATTTTACTTCAAAACAATGCCGCAACAAATGAGAAAATGATACAGATAAATTCACTTATAATTCACTTCATCACTTGTGAGAGAAAATGATACAAATAAATTACAAATTTACAATAAACGACATACCAATGATACCATACTGAGATCGAGAACGGTTCAAATAAATTACAAATTTACAATATACCTCATACAATACTCAGATCGAGAATGTGTATATAGTATCAAGCATTATTGGCCTCACAAGTATCAATAGCAAAGGATGACCCTCAAACCCAATTGTATAAAATAAATATATAAATAGTCTTGAGCTGGAAAGTTGCGGCGGTAGTTTAAATACCACTTGTTGTAGGTGCGGAATTGTGAAGAGTCTGATTGATTCCTTACTGGAGTTATTTTTATTAATCTCCAACCACTGCACAGTTATAACTTATAAGAGCAACTCATAAAATCAAAACTCGAAGGCTGAAACAGCATTTCTTCTAACATTGAAACTTTTAGGAAAAGCAAAGGGACAGCAACTTGAAGGCACAAGTCCATCCCCACACCCTTCAACGGGTACAGGGGATGTGTTTGCTGACCCATGGGTCTGGGAAGAGGTTACAATGTGAAGTACGTAGTATTAGATATGTAAGAATTTCATGTGAACATACACAACAATAGTGTGGAATATTTTACTTTCACTTAAATCTCCAAAAGAGAAAAAAAACATATTTGTGACTATGCTGTGCTTTTTAAAGGCAAGACCATTCAGCTTGAGGTGCTAGCCAACTATATACACGGAGAATGTCAGACTTTTCGTGGCCAAGTGGAAGCAAGCTCCACAACAAGAGTTTACTACTCTAGTTAACTTCTAAAAAGGCTGATCATGAGACAAGTTCTCCATGGTGTTCAGTTGTTCACTCTGGCTACAGTGTCTCCCTCCATATGGTGTGTATGTTAAAGATTGAATTTTAAAGTCCCACTATGTCCACCTACAAATGTTTTGGACAGGCTACTTAATATAATCCACACTTACTGATCAAACTATTATCTTGAAGTTTATGTTCTTACCCCAGCTACATGTCTGCAATGGTACTGCCCACCCCGATCCCTTTTAAAAACTACTCGTACCTTATACGAAGTATGTCTGTAATTTCCATCCGGAATTAATGAACAAAAAATTAGCTTCAAACAAAACAACCAGTTACCATTATTATCATGGTGTGTCCGATTGAGGCATTCTGCTAAGGCTTTCCGCATTTACCATCTTTAAATAACTGCTAACAATCTTCTGATCCAACTCATAGTAAAATTCCATCTTATTCAAACGCTTCAGGTCCAGATCAATGAAAGCTACCTATGTATTTGAAGCAATAATGATCATCAAAACAACAAAAGATATATACACAGGTAATCTATAAGGACAACATGATCAAGTGGCAATCTTAGTTACTTCCCAGCATGTTAGTCAGAACTAACAACTATATATAGATATGATCTAACATCCTGGAACTAAAAAATGATGAAGCCAACAGCATTTTACTTGATAAGATCTTTCCAAGTGCAGTCTTAACTGCAGCAGGTTACAGCAGTTTTTTTCAAAAATGACTTTTTTCAAGTTTTGGCATTCTTGACAGGCTAGTCCATTCATAAATTTTCTCTCTAGCTAAAACCCCATCCTGTTGGATTGGCAGCTTCTTGGACAAGGTGGATTACTTCTATTCAATAGCAGGCTTTGGGCACTAGTTTGTGACAGCCAAGGTAGGCAATGTCATGAGGCGCACTCAAGGCGCTAGAGGACTCAAATCGAGTGAGGCGCAAGGCACAAAAAAGCGCTTGCCTGACTAATGTCAGGAGCACCATCTATATACAATAAAATATAGGCCATAGTTATAATTTTAAAATATGAGACAAGTTAGAAAAAGAAACAAACAAAACTAAAAGAAGAAACTTGTTAGTTGTTACTTGTTAGGGATAAAGTATAAAACAGAAGAAGAAAATGACAGAAAAAGGAAAACAAGATAAAGTTATAGACTTTAAAATGATGAGATAAAATAAAGAAGATATAGATTTTACATCAAAAGGCAAAAAATAGAAAAATAAGAAGCGAAGAAATTAAAAAAGGCCAGAAACAAGACAAAAAAATAGGAGGAGGTCACCTTCTCCGTGTTGTGCAGGGTGTGGGACAAACACAAGAAATAAGAATGCAATGCTAAAAACTTTCTAAGTTTCCGTTGATTCCTTAATACATTGACTAAGAAGGGTTTTAACAGGTTTTAAGTTGTGTTTTTCCTATTAGTTGGATGGGCTATATCTTACTATTGATATGGGTGTATTAAAAATAGGTCCAAATCTGCTTTTTTAATAACTTCAGAACCCTTTAGGCTCAGGCGAATCAGGCGTGCACCTCTGTGCCTCTGCCTGCGCTTATATCGCGACTCACTCAGACAGCCTCACCTGGTGCGCTTATGACTGTGACTTGCAAATTACAATGACAGAAATTATTCTGTGGTTTTATGCTCAGACTGCACACAGTATATCCACAACCTAAAGGGAAATGTGTTCACACTCAGTTTATCAACAGGCATAATAAATGCTCAACACTTCAAGTGTTTAAACACATGTAATGGGTTGAACACCTTGTTCAACATGTCTTTAGATGGACAATAAATTGTTTCAGTTATGTAGTGAATATTGGATATATTTGGGTGTCTTGAATTTTGATAAAAAAAATAAATAAAGAATCCTATTCTAAACCAGATTCGAAGAGTTTGAATTGCAAAAGAGAAATGTGGTATACCTTGTAATCAAAATTTTGATTGGTTGACTTTAAGGAGACATGATTATATGAAGACTTCCCTTTCCCATCTTCCTGAAGTTTGAAGCTAATCATCACACCCAAGTCCTTTGCAGTAGTAGCTATTAAAAAGTCCCTCAATATCTTCCCGCTTTCCTCCATTGAAATAGAATGCAAGGTGTCATATCTTTTTGAAAAGCCGCTGCCCAATTCTCTACATACCATACAGGGCTGTGAAATAACATTATAATACACATGAATTGCACCCTCGATGTCAAAAACGTCAAGCTTCTGGACTTCAAGAAGTCTATTTAGTACTCCTGAACTTAAAACTGCCTCAGAGATGAGCTCAAGAAAACAATTAGTACGCATCCCTTCTTCAGCCAAAATTATATTCTTAAGTGCATCTTCCAATGCCTCACAAACTTTAGATGTTGTAGGTTCCGCAACACCACCCAGACCCCCAAATATGAGAGAACCATCCAGAAAAACTCGGAAGTTATTCTGTGGGGTCAATAAAAGATCATTCATTGCTTTATCCAATCTTTCTTTGGATCCAGAAAACATATCCAGGGGATCATATTCACTTATATATGATATCTGGAAAAAAAGGGTGAAGAGCACCGATTATGAGAAACGTGTTGAAGTAAAGAGTTGTACAGCATCATTAGAACTATAAAGTGGAATTAAGATGGCCAACTGAGAATATAACACGTGTAAAGGTGCCAAATTTGTAAAAGGTAGAAATTTCTGGTGCATAAAATTCAGTATATTTGGATTTTGAAATATAGAATTACAGTTACACGTGTAAAGCATTTAACTTAAAAATATACACTATAGTCAATACCTTGCCTTGAACAAACTTCAGAGTCTGGTGCATTTTGAAACGAGTAGTTCTCCTTTTAACAGCATTTCTTTCTAAAATAAATTCAGAACTTGGAACAAATCCACATTTGGGCTGTGAACATAGCAGGTAATATTATGTGATTGTAGAAAAATGAAGAAAATGAACAACAAATATAAAAAGTGGAAAAACTCTGAACCAAAAACATATATGCACCTTTATCTCAACACATATGCAATGTTCCTTAGGTGCAACTGAAACGAAGAGAAATGTGGGTGTTATTCTCATGATCAGCCACGGATCAATACATCCATAATAAGCAAGCACATGCCCTTGTTATGACTGTGACTTGCAAATTACAATGACAGTCCAAATGTCGAATGTGATCCAAATTCCAAATATTGCAACAGCAGAAACAGAACTATTTTATAATCCAGATGCCTATTGCTTGAAATTGTAAAGTTAAAACTATGTGATTCTAAGTAATGATTGGTGCCCTTTTTAACAAACCTTCTCCACATGCTTTCAGAACTACATCTTTGAGATCAATTGGGGTTCTAGATTACTCTCAGTAGTTTTTTTAAAATAGAAACTAGAAATTTAGTATATAAAAACATAGGTTTGTCAATAAGTAGCATTAGTTCAATATAAGAGCGTGAACACAGAAGGCAAGAAAAAAATACCATGGGGGAATGTTGAATGATCGGGCATCAGAATAGCATAACTACTCAAGAAATTTACTTTAGTTGCATCTACCCGCCAAGAGGGGCGTACATGAAAAGCATTCTTTTCAACTGTTTCCAAAAATTCTCTGGATACAATGATGTGAACCTGACAATTTATAGACCAGAAAAGAGAACACATTTAACCATTTTGTTGACCACTGGGAATTAAATCATTGCCTGAAGGATACTATGTCAAAGGACTAGCAGTGACTAGGACCAATTACTTGGAACTTGGAAGTAATCTGTGATTACTCGGCTCAGTATTAGAGAATTTTTGAAAATGTATGTCATACATGTTCCTAACAGTATAGTATTATAGGTCTTATATATGTATATGTATATGTATTTATAAAACATCATTCCGCAATAACTACCACAATTCATAAAGCATCTAAAAAAGATCTCACCACCTAATCAATCCTAAGTTCTTATATCCTAAGTACATCATCATTTGGTTCACGATCGCGACTGAATTCATCTTCCTCCAAGTTCACAAACACATCTTATGTGAGAACTTGTAGTTTTTTGAACTTTTAATATCTTAATAATGTATTTTATCAAGTTAAAAGACCGCTAAGTTTTTTTATTAATTTCATAATGACCCAATTTTTGTTTCCAATCTTTCATATGTAACTAAAATCTAATTCTTCATCAGCTAACTTGTACCGAAAAGGTGGGAAACTCGGCAAGGTCAGGGGCCAAGAAGTGAATGCTCACTGAGAGCTCACCAATCAAATAATGCAATGTTTAATGAATGTGTTGGTGTACGTCGCATGAGAAGTGTAGTACCAATTAGTTATCTAACAGCTAACACTTTAAAATGATTAAGAAAATGTATAATGGCAATGTTTTATGTTGGATACCTTATTCAACCTTTTTACGAATGAATGATGGCCATTATTATAACATTACCATTTACCAGTAATCTGAAATAAGGCTCGGTATTGACGTAAAAGGACTACACAGAGTGTAATGGGTGTGTTCCAATGAATTGAATGCATATGTGTTAAAAGTAAAAAACATACAAAACAAGTGACATGAATGTTAACACTTGACAGAATTTATACTAACGTACCCCAGCATCAACATGTTTAGCACCCAATAATGGACGCATCACATGTTGGACAAAGAAGTGCCCTGCAATTTCCCTTGTAGGGGCAGATACAAGCTCTTTGACATCTTTCCAAAGATGGCTTTCATGCATAGTTAAGCCTAGATGACCACTTTGACATTCCGACCCATTTGTTGGAACCTTTTGTACCCTCAAAACTTTGCCAACCTGCACAGAATAAAGGGAAAGGTTGCAGCCATGATATCAAAGATAGTTAACTCTATCCGTCTTATTTTCAAAATGACTCAGTATTCCAACAAAATGAAGATTAACAAAAGGGTAGATTTTGATACAATCATCTCACACAATATTAAAATTTGGTCACAAATCTAACTATAATATAGAAATATAGAATAATAGAATTCAGTTGAATATGAACTCAATCTTCACATAACCGTTAACTCGATCTCTTGCAAGGAGTTAATCAAATATTTTTTGATAGAAAAGATCTACATGCTTTATTATAAGTAAACTAGAAAAAGCATACAAATTGAGGAGATCTTCCGCAGTAGGAAAGAATCAGATTGGCGCCTCCTTCTCCCTTGTAAGACCATTCTATCGCATCTTTTGCCTCCAAAGCCACTGCCATTCTTTTTTCCAAAATAAGTATATGTGAATAAATAAAGAAATCATAATGAAATTCGTGATGCAATGCAAACATGGTAAAATGAGGCAGCCTAAGATTAAGAATGTGAGAGCATTCAAGAAGGGTGGACATTTCAGTTCCAGTTTTTCGGTTTCAAAATAATGCTACTGAAATAAAGATGAAATTATTTTGGTGGGGTTTGGATTTGGTTTGGGAGTGGAGTAGTGGATCAGTTTGGATCGGTCTCATAATATTTTAATTAGTCTATTTTGGCTTAATTTAAATGGTTTGATTCGGTTTCATCTATTTATAAATAGATTGAAACTGCAAAAAACCATTTAAATTAAACAAAAATAAACTGATAAAAGTACTGGAAAGCAACAAATAGAAATTTAAAACATACAGTACCTAACTTGTATTCATTTTAGTACTGGAAATGCAGGAAGTATGCAAAAAATGATAACTAAGAATCATGAGGCATGGAATATAGATAAATACCACATGTTTCACATACCAGCAAAATAAATGAATTAGCCGCATCAAAGCATAGCTAATTATAGCAGGAACATAACAGAACTTTAAAAAACGTGAAATTCGATACTCCATAATAAACGATGACAGGGATGCCCCTGAGGGGCGGATCGAGCATTTCAATCAAGGTGGGGCCAAAACTTGCACATATATAATATAAATTCAATTGCACAAAAAATGTAAATCAAAATAATTAATATTACAAACGTTTTTCAAGAATTAGAGTTTTCTTTTCATCCAAGTAAAATACAAAAAAAAAACATCACAAATTCATAATTATTCTCTATGGGTTTTCATAGAATGATATCACTTGATTATGGCATCACTGTGAAATTGTCAATTTTCAAAAAGATATCTTTTTCTCTATGGGTTTACATAGTTTATTTGAAGTTTCCTCAAATAGATCTACTAGAGACCAATACAATGCTTAGTGATTGATCTTCATTAGCTTCTACATCAATAGATTTATAGTATAATTTCACACCTTTCTTCATTAGCTTTATTTACCCTACAACAATCCACCACATCATATGATAAATGAGAAAATAGAAAAAAAGGTCCCCACAAGTATATGAGAAACAAAATAACATTACGCCGGTGCCGCAAAAGCTCCCACCTTCGGCGATGAAAAGATAAGTGATTATTATGAAAAGTAAAAGTTAGTGTGTTTGATGCAAAAGTGTTTTTTTGTTAGTTAAAAATGTGAAGAGCATTTAACTTAAAAAAAGTAAAAGCAATGTTCTCCATTCACTTAAAACTACTCCCTCCGTCCCCTTCTAAATGTCCCATTTTACCATATTGGGATGTCCTCATTTAATTGTCCCATACCTTATTTGTTAAAGTTTGTGTGGCTCAAAATCATTCTTACTTTATTCTTACTTTATTCTTACTTTATCTATTAATATCAACCACATAAACCTACTTTTCTTAAAACTCGTGTCACCCTCTTCCGGGACATTTAAAAGGGGACGGAGGTAGTACTTAAAAATAAATGAAGTATTTGAAAACACCCACTTTAGCTTTTCCCGCCCAAAAGATCACAAAAATGCTTTTTTAAGTCCTTAAACACTCCATATTCCATAAAACTAACAACAACTAAAGGATTTAATACTAAAAAATGATATGCATACTAATTCTAGGAGTAAATTAGAGCACCAGAATAACTTCTCCACTTTCACCCAAACACCCCAACTTCTGCTCTTGAAGGAGCAGAAGCAGTTTTAAGAATCAAATACAAACACCCCTAACATGTAATACGATCATATTACTGCTATATGCCTAAATAATGAGATCTTAGGAAGCACGGGAAACGTGAAACCAGGGTTTCATTTCCGAAACGTATAGGAAATGGGACACTGCAGGACAGGCCGGGAAACACCCCAGAAACGACCGGAAACGTTTCTACTGTTTCTCGTTTGAAAAACAAGCTTTAGTCAGTCAGATAGTAAGCCTATTGGCAATCCTTTACATCACACTGGACTCTGAAACTTGAAACGGCGAATCGGCAAACTGCAAACATACCTACAGTCCTAAACAGAGGACGGACGAGAATAGCTCAATCGCTCAGGAGGACGGGAATCTCACTCGCAAGCATACTCTCAAGCATCCAAGACTCTGCGACTCGCAAACGCAGTATCAGTCCAGAAGACGAAATATCAAGGCTCCGCGAGGGGGAATCCAGAAAAATTCAAGCTTTGAGGAAGGAGTTTGCGACTTTGGAAATGAAAGGTGGCGAATCTGTCACCAGCTACTTCACAAGAACAATGGGAATCAACAACAAAATCTGCTATCGTGGAGAAAAGATGACTGGCGTGAACATGGCAAAAACATTATGAAGTCATACGGACATATGTGGCTTCTCAATAGCCATTCATTTGTACAGCGGAGAAGATGGTGGATATGATGCGTCCAAACCTACGCCATATGACTGAAGGGAACATGGTGGAAAAGATTTTGCGTTTTTATGACGCAAGATTTCAACTGTATCTTGATGAACTACAGCGCTATTTGCTAGTGCACGAGCAGAATATGAATAGAAGTTCCATCGCCAAAGAGAAGCTCGTAGGCAGTTCTCTCTAAGGGTGGGCAAGAATACTGAAAATCGGTATACAGCACTTACTCTTACTGTACAGAAAAATACCGAAAAATACCGGAATATTGGTATACCGTCATTTTCGGTAACAGTAAATGTTTTCAAATACCGCGGTATACCGGTATAATACCGTACTGACTCCCACCCAGCGATTACTATAAATTCTAAAATATTGTAAAAATCCATTACAAGTTTGAAGCCCAAAATTAATACTTATGTTGGTTACAAATACTAAAATACAAAAATAAAGGTCCGATTTCCAAACCCACTGTAACCTTCTAGGCTTCTACTACGCAACATTCAAACAAACAAGCCCTAATGACTAATGAGTAATGTACTAATGTCTGGACCAGTCCATCTTGTTCCATAAGCTTGCGAGTCGCGATGGCTGAGCCGCTGAGTAGCTGACGAGTGAAGAGGGATACACTTATGTGACGAGTGTATTGACATAGAGATTCCGTAAGTCGAGGCACATAACTTTGTCCGAAAGTCTTATTCAAATATTTTATTTAAAATTATAAAATAGACTAAATACACAATATCATATTATGGATAAATGATTTTATATCCATGTTGTTTGAATAATTTTATTTATTTTTGTTAGTGATCACTATTCATTTAATTATATCTATATTGCTCAAGTTATTTAAATATGTTGAACTGCTTAAATATACTAATAATAATAATTTTCAATATTGAATATGACATCAATAGATTATTAATTGTATTTTGTAACATTTTAATAATGGATTAAATATGTCGTTAGTACACCGATTTACTATATTTTGTTAGTCTATGATAATTTTTTGAATTGGGGGACATGCATGGTAATTTACCGATACCGTACCGTTACCGAACCGAAACTTCGGTATACCGAAATGCGGTATACCGAAACTTCGGTAAGGTAACGGTATATAAATTTTGTATACCGAAAGTTTCGGTACGGTAAAGGTATGAGAGAAAAAATTCGGTATACCGTACCGAACCACCCCTAGTTCTCTCACAGCAGGGACAGAGTTTTGTGCTATGCAGAGTTTTGGGTTAAGCAGAGTTTTTTTTGGGTTACGCAGAATTTTGGGCTATGCAGAATTTTGGGTTTAGGCAGAGTTTTGGGCTATATGGAAGTATTTTAACAAATTTGACTCCAAAACTGTTCGGGCCCGTTTGGTTGGGGGTAATCCCAGGTTAAGGCCATAATGTGATGCTCTTATTTGGTTCATGGTTTTGAAAAAAAATCGGGAAAGTTACGTTCCCGAGAATGTTATATGGATGGGAATGTTAAATCCATCCATGTCTTAGGTTATCTCACATTCCTGGGGTGATCTAATTTTCTTCCGAAAATACCTTCAATTAATTATCTCTTTTCATTTAATTTCTTTATATATTCAATTGTTATCAAATTTATTTTTTTGTGACTTTATAAAACTTTTAATGTAGTGTATAAATATGTAAATTTAATTTACTAAAAATAATCTTATTATTGACAGAAATCTGTTAGTTTGATGATCAGTCAAACATCGTAAATTGTGTAACAACCTTTTTAAGAAGGACGTACAGAGTATTAATTATATACAAATGTCTATTCTTGTTATTTGCATATTTTTTTGCCTTAACATTTAAATTTTTTAAGGTATTTATGTTATAAGAGTTATAGATTTAAAGAGCATAAAAGTAATTCATCATATCTGCAACATAAGATATCTTTCAACCAAATAAATTATGACACATTCCCTTTATGTTAACCAAACACAAATGAGAATCAATTGAATACATTCACATCAATATAACATATCCAACAATCTAACATTCTCATGGTAATATGAGATTCCTTGAACCAAACATACTCTTAATTTATCATATGAGCAAGTATGGATATATTAGGGTGGGCATATCAAATTGAACTAAAGTGAACCTAGGGTGGGCATATCAAATTGAACTAAAGTGAACCGAAATTAGACTGCATTCAAATTGGTTTGAGTTTGGAAGTGTTTTTTCTAGATAGTTTTAAACCAAATCGAACCAAAACTGGAAAAAAAAACTAAATCAAACTACAGAAAATCAATTCAGTAAAATCTTCATATATTATTACTCCGAACCAAACCAAATCAAAACCGAAAAATACTATGGTTTTTGTTTCATGCTAATTCTTCTAATCCGTTCTAAATCGAACTGAAATCCATAAAAATTGAACAAAAACCGATAAGTCCACCTCTAGATATACCCTAGAAAGCATTAAATCATGTCCAATAATAAGAATAATCTAATCCATTAAATATGATAATTTATTTAGTTTAGTAAAAATTTTAATTTTTGATTCGGTGTTTTTATGTGGTATCTATATTTTAATATTTTGGGATTAGAGTTTACTCGTCCCCATTTCAGTCCTCGCTTCTGTTTCCGTCCGGATGCTACTTAGATGAGATCAATACTAACAATAATAATAGTGCTAATGGGAAAAATCAAATTACTTTAATGTAGGCTCGTATAAAATTATGATGAGTCAAATAACCATCTGAATACTCTAGTGGATCATCTATGGCGGAATGGATGTTTCGAACGTGATTATAAATTTGATATCATGTAAACTTCGGAGGTGGAGGGTCACGTTAAATGATCCTTGAGGAATGACTATTCATCCTTTCGGTATGACTGGTTTTGTGGAAAAAATCTTCAGTGACAATCAAAGTAAGACGATTTGTGACTATTTTTTAGCCAAAAGGCATTTGACATCTCCATACAAACAGGACAACCTATGAGACCTGCAGTGCTCCATCCAGAAAGCGTTCTATATGTAGGAATACCGACATCTCATAGTTGATAAAGCTCTTCCACTAATGACTGCAAATACACATCAAGTCTTTTTTTTTTGTATTATCTGGTGATGGGGACAGTAATTTAGGACAAAAACATAAAATGATTTTTCATACACGTCTCCTAGAAAATTATACGGTGTGATGATAATTGTCCAACAAGAGAATTGGCTTCCAAATTGACATTATGGAGAAAAACCATCTGCACATTAGCCAACTCGAGTGTTGTGCGGCTCTATAGCGAATTAGGGATAACACCGATCAAAATGCTTTCATGCCTCAGAATCTGATGGGTGATGTGGCATGCTCTACATGACACGTCATGAGTTTAGCAGTAGTGTTTAAGGCATACAACTTTTACAATCGTGGAGCTAAAGGAAGAAATGTCAACTTAGATGTTGTAGATCTTTTCAGTGGTTTGTGACGCGTAACTGATAGAGGTTTGTACATTTCTGCATTACAAAACTTACACCCGGTTAATGTCTCTTCATTTTTTTTCAAAACAGCATATATCCTCGGGGAAGTGCATGAATTTTGATCATAGGAAGACCTAATTTGGTGACAAAAATTTTCATGTTACAATAAGTATGAGGAAGACAATCATCACGCGGTAACATACTAGCCAAAGACTCTTTTATGTTGGACATGCGGTTCTCAGAAAATATATATTCGAATTTTTAATTCAAAAATTCAGAAACAACTGACATTTGGGAGTGACCATCAAAATCGGAATAGATAGGTTGATCCGCACTTTTAAGCACATCCTAAAATATAGTGTCGAGTGTATCAACATCATAACATATGAACTCAGCCCCTCATTCGCATTATTCTGTCCCACAAAATCATAATTAGATGAGTATTGTGAAATTTAGAATCGACCAAATCATAAATCATTCGTTGATCACATGCAATTTCTTCACAATTACTCCAAGTGCCACATCTCATAGGGAACATAATGAGATGTTCCTACGGTCTACGGCAAAAAAAACTGACTCAAACAACTATCGTTGAGAAGTCCAATTCTAATCATTGTCGATAAACCCACTCGTGTATAAATGCCAAGAAACGTCATATGCATCTAAAAATTTGTTATTTTTACACTTCGTACACGGGCACCTTATTTTACTTTCAGGATGTTTTTACTTGGACTGTAATTTGATGGTCTGGTCTGGTTTGAATTGGTCTGGTCTGATCTGGTTTCTTTGTATTTTTATAACTATCCAAGTCTGGTCTGAACTGTTCTGGTCTGAACTGTTCTGGTCTAGTCTGATCTGGTCTGGACTGGGAGGAATTACAGTCCAAGTAAAAACATCCTCATTCATGTACTCAAGTTGTCCTCATGCAAAATTAACAAATTAAACTCCATTTATAAACTCTTCCCTCAATCTTCTACCATTTTCAACATATAGATTCTACATCCAATTTCTAGTTTTTCTATACATTACAGTTGAATATTAGAAAACCATCAATAAATAATTATTTATTCATATTGTAAATAAATACCAGTAAAGTTTTAAAGCATATTCCTGATATAGAATCGATATAACATAAAGGAAATTATAAATATAATTCAAAACATGATTAATTAATTACTTTAAAAGGTACTAAAACAAAAAAATAATTACACACCTTATATGACGACGATGACTTCTTTAAGAAATTTCAATATAAAAAATAGAGAATAATACAACTTCCATGATCTATTGAGAACTCATCACTTGATTTGAACAATATAATCAAATGTAAGAGCGAGTATGAAATTATGTGATTTTAATCCTAAGAAAACCACATCTATTTAGAGTTTCCTTTAGCAAGAACTTTGGCACACAGATAGTCCAACGGTTATATTTTGGCAGGGATTTGGTAAGGACATTGCGCAAATGGTAACAAAGTTCATTTTTTGGCAGGGACATTTGAGTCGGATAAATTTTTTGAAAATAACGATCACTTTTGGCACGGAGTTTGGTAGAGATGAAGTGAACCTACCCATAAAGGCAACATTTGGTTGGGATGTTGGCACAAATATTGGCTATAACATTAAACGGATAACTTTGACTCGGATTTTGACATGGTAGTTTGTGGCACGAAGAAGAACCGAGACAATCTTTCCTCCACACACCGTTTAATTTGGCTTGGAGTTTGGCTCGAACCGGGACGGAGATAGTATAATACTCTCACTGTATTTGAAAGTGTAGCAATCTTTAAAATACGAAAGAAGTAAAGTGTAACATAATTAGTGTTTACGTGTAATATGGGTCTTTACCTTCTACCTTTTGTACTATTTAAAAGTCTCTAAAAACTTCTAGTTGCATGTTTGACATGACAATTTTTAAAAAATTTTCAAGATAAAAGATCTTTTTTGAGAAATTACCCTAAGTAGCATCCAGCGTGGTATTGGAAAAATAGAGACCCTATGCAATCAAAAAAATTGGGCCTTTCTTTCTACCACAAAAGGAAATAGACCATAAAGATACAATAATCGTAATTGTAATAAATTATCTATAATTTATCGTAAAATTCGAGGTAGTATTGAACAAAATAGTAAAAACAAAAGTATTCATCAAGTAATACGGAATATATAA